GCACATAGGGGTGGCAGCGAGAGTCTGCACATAGGGGTGGCAGCGAGAGTCTGCATAGGGGTAGCAGCGAGTCTGCAGGGAGGAGGTTACGGTAGATGAAGCAGAGAGTCTGCGGGAAGAGAAAGGAAGCTATAATAGAGTCAACAGCCGGGGGCTATAAATACAGAGTTATAACAGAGTGCCGTGTGGGAGAAGACAAGAACCCAATAAAGGACACGAAGACAGAAAGAAGTGTCTGAGTCCTTTTATTACAATATTAATGGGGCATTTTCACCAATGGCTCTGGGCGGCCAATGTAGATTAGCTCATGGGGACTGGGAAACCCTTTTGACTTTTTGAATTGGGCTGCCATTCAATGCGCATTACACTTACGAAAATGTGCTTTCGCAATAATTCCGTTAAAATTACCACATATCAAAATTAGACTACTTTGTTGCCTAATTGTATGGTGATTTTGTATTGCGCATTATTCGATTTTCACTACACTGGAATTGTAGTTCTGCACGTGTAAGTTTCATAGTTTTACGCAAATACATTGTGTACGAGAATTGGCCCGACATTATGCATTTATGATGAACACATTCCTGCGGAGGGAGCTGGTAGGAACGTTGGGTTGCTCGGTCAATGGCCAGGGTCAACGGCGGCGTGGTGTATTCCGCAAATATGGCCGACTGTGAGGGCGGGCACAAGCCGGCGTGAGTAGGTTAAACGTTGAGTTTTATAAGGGCACCACGGGGTGACCAGCCCCTCCCCACCCAGCCCCACCCCTCCCACCCCCACCCAGCCCCACCCAGCCCCACCCTCCCCACCCAGCCCCACCCTCCCCACCCAGCCCCTCCGCACCCTCCCATCCCCACCCAGCCCCTCACCACCCTCCCCACCCAACCCTTCTCCACCCTCCCCTCTCCAACCAGCCCCACCCCTCCCATTTTGGATGCACGACGGACGGACGGACACAATAATCCCCTGTGGGCTGGTGTAACCAGGAGGTTCCTACCAGTACAACTCTTAAAATAAAAAACAAACAAAATGAAAACCTTTATGTAGGTTGCATAATCCCAATCTGTAACACGAGTAACATGACTTCATCATCAGCGGGCAATGTTCCAATATTTAGAAGTGCATGCAATGATCCGGGTATGAAGCCGTTTAGACTGCTGGGGCGTGTCCTGTTAGCAAGCGCCAACTAAACTCGGACAGAACACGATCGGGTGGTGTGGTGAGCTACACACCTGGCCACATTTGTCTCCCCAAGTCCTGATGTTTACGCATTGCACCACTCATTTATGGCTGAGTCGCCCTTGGGGAGCAATGCACTAACCACTGTACCGCCACTCCCATCACAGAAAGATACACTCTACTGTCTCTGTGTGTTATTGATGTGTGGCCAAATAAGCCATCAGAAAATCATTGGGAGAGTGGTTTATTGGCAAACTATCTATTGGAAGCACGACTCTAATCTATTATGAATTCACGTACACCAGCATGCATCTATCTAGCAGACGTAATACGCATTAATCCAATAATGTATATTCATGACTGGAAATATAATTTCCCATCAATGGACACAGTCAAGACGCATAAAATACATGGAAGGAATGAGGTTAGAGTATACAATCTGTGTGCAATGTTTCTACACTAATCGTGTACACTTGCTCATGAACTCTTTTGGTCAGACGCTACCAATGAACACAATGTGCGGTACACATTTAACATACATATACAATCTAAGAGGTCAGTGCTCATGTTAAGAAGGTCGCAAGTTCATGTCACGGTAAGGTAAGGGTGGACCCATCCCATCATCCATGAGGTTGGATTAACGACCTGGGGCTCCTCACTTGAAATGCTGTGAACTGCTACCCATACTGTGCTCCAGCCTGGTCTGAGAGCTCGTCCACAAAACTGCTAGATACACAAATAACGCAATGCGCAAAACAACCATAGCACTGAAACCAACACCGACCCCCCGAGCTCCTTGTTCTGGTGAACATTCTGCCACCAGATATCTGCCAGAGAGGGGCCAAGTTTTCCTGCCAAAGACCACCTATCCATCATCAACCAATACCTCGACAATGTTCCTCGCCGCCGACTCAAGTCCCGATCCCCCTTCTAGGATCGTTGCTGCTGTTACCTTCCTGGAATCTCACTCAGATCCGGATGGACGCTGGCGAGCAGAGTGGAACACTGATATCACAGGTTAACACTGATATCACATATTCTTAAAATAATACAAATATAAAACAATAAAATTACCACGACGTTTCGACTGCAACACAAGCAATCATCAGCAGGTGTGAAATCCACAGAAATAAAAAAAAATCATCTTTTTTTCAAAAATAAAATTCTTGCTGTGAAATTCACACCTGATGATGATTGCTTGTGTTGCAGTCGAAACGTCGTGATAATTTTATTGTATTATATTTTTATTATGTTATAGTTTCCCTTCTACGTGACTTTACCGAAAGAACCAAGAATATGAATCCCTGCAGTCACGGAAGCTTTAAATCACTGATATCACAGTTTAACATTGATATCACAGGATCATATAGGGAATGCGATGGCGTCACAGTCAACAGAGCGTGCTGTAACGTCACGGAGTACAGGGCAGTCGAGGATGTTACAGAATAAAGTGCAAGCTGTAACGTCCCACGACACATATCACACCGTGCTCTCACAGTTAAGAGAGCACACGGTCATATCACGGTACAAAAACCAAGCTGTCAGGTCACAGAGAACACTGCGAGGTCACGTTACACTCTGAGCATGCTGAGATGTCACAGTCCACAGAGGTTGCCGTGATTAGAATTGCCACCTGTCCTGGTTTTCCTAGGATCATACTCATTTTGATGAAGCCTTACCGAGACATAAAACTAAAATCCCAGGTTTTACGAGTCGCATAGTAAGGCACTCCATTCACTCAAGACACTCCATTTACGTAGTCTTGTCTTTAAATATTGAGATTATTCTTCCCATAATGTCTTGTTTTTGTACAAGGTGGCAACCTCAGTGGCTGGGGTCACCGTGGGTGGATGCCTGATGCGGATGTTTCATGTGAGTCACTGCGGCTGATCCACCATATTATGAAGTCAGGTTTTATTTCCAGCCACGGATAACACCAGTGGCAAGTGATATCTGAATCTTCCCTGCACAGTACTCACCGCAGAGCTGGGGAGTGCCAATGTGGGCCAGCGTAGTACTGACCACACCACCCCCTCATATATTCTTCTTTCGTGTGGCTGATGTAGATACAGAACTATTACAAATTCAAATGCAGGTGGTCTATCCAGATAACGGGGTCAGGAGTAGCTGGGTGTATCGCCGTGACGTCTCCATCCTATCTGTGGATCGGGCATTGCGTCGTTATATGCTGTACGGTCCGCTTCAACAGTTAGAATGCTCATATATTACCGTGTCTGTGTAAGCAAACGGTCATTGCCTTACAAGTGAAACTGAACTTGTCATGGAAAAGACTCCGATAAAATCATGGGACCTCCTTTGCCAGTACCAAAATATGAGAATAGGTTTTCCCATTTTTTCTGGTAACAAAACAGGTGTTACAATGTTAAAACACCAAACTGAAACCTTTTACAAGGAATCATGTCTGCATTAACCACAATACTTGTGGTCAGAATACAAACCAAAACGTACACTCTGATAATGTTTTGCATTGTCTTTGAAACTGATTGTTCCACACCAGAGACAGCTTTCTTTCGAGCCTAGTCTCAAACGGTGTTAAACCAAAGGACGCCAAGTATTGTGGTTAATGTAGACATGATTCCTTGTAAAAGGTTTGTTTGGTGTTTTAACATCTCAACACCTGTTTTGTTAATTGGTTTTTTACCCTTCTATCTGGCAACAAAACTGACACCTTTTTGCAAGGAGTCATGTTTGCATAGACCGCAATACCTGCAGTCATAATACAAACAAAAGAACATAACTCTGATAATGTGCACTGTCCTTGAAGTTGATTGGTCCACACCCGAGACAGCTTTCCTTCGAGCCTAGTCTCATATGGGTTGGACCAGATGACGCCAAAAGGCGCACAACTCAAGGACAATGCACCATCAGAGTATGAGAGCTCGGGGCAAGCATCTACACTATGGGGACCTCATTTGCCAGTAAAAATATGATAATTGTTTTTTTACCCTTCTATCTGGCAACAAAACTGACACCTTTTTGCAAGGAGTCATGTTTGCATAGACCGCAATACCTGCAGTCATAATACAAACAAAAGAACATAACTCTGATAATGTGCACTGTCCTTGAAGTTGATTGGTCCACACCCGAGACAGCTTTCCTTCGAGCCTAGTCTCATATGGGTTGGACCAGATGACGCCAAAAGGCGCCTTTTGGCGTCATCTGGTCCAACCCATATGAGACTAGGCTCGAAGGAAAGCTGTCTCGGGTGTGGACCAATCAACTTCAAGGACAGTGCACATTATCAGAGTTATGTTCTTTTGTTTGTATTATGACTGCAGGTATTGCGGTCTATGCAAACATGACTCCTTGCAAAAAGGTGTCAGTTTTGTTGCCAGATAGAAGGGTAAAAAACCAATTATCATATTTTTACTGGCAAATGAGGTCCCCATAGTGTACCTGTTTTGTTACCAGAAAAAAGGGGAAAACCTATTCTCCCTCCGATAAAATGTTTGGAATGGGAGACACTGTGACGTTTTGTCACGCGTAATTGTATAATTTGGTATCGAAATCGTCTCATCCACGGCGATACGGGGTATTACTGCCACAGATCGTATACCATGTGATTTTACTCCTCTTATCGGAGGGGTAAAAATTTAGTGGAAAAACCTGCGGATAAAGTATCACGGATGGTAAAATTTTTGGGTAATAGGTCTACGGATAAGAGGAGTTATGGGTAATAGGGTCACGAATAATAGGAGCTATGTGCAATAGGGTCACGGATAAGAGGAGTTCTGGATTTAAACCGTCTTTTTGGAAACAGTAAAACTTTAGTGATTCAACAAACACAAGCACAGACCATGTCCAGAAACACTTTGGTTTAATAATGACAACATATACACGCAGTTTTTTTTTTGTTTCTCGTATATTCATAACAATACAGCGCTGCAGGGGGTGTAGTGATTACAGTTTGGGTAGGAAACAGCAGTGCACGGAGCCGAACTGTAGTGATTTAACGGAGCACAAAGACACCCACGCAGACACAAAGATCCCCCAATATAGCCTCTAACAGGCTGTTGGGACAAGTGCTGTTAGCAAGCACTATGAAGGCCGGCATGGCACACGAGGGGGTGGGTGGCCAGCACCATGCAGGCTGCGTTTGTCTCCCCAGCGCTGATGTTACACACCCCACCAGGTACTCATATTTAAGGCTGAGTCGACCTAGAGGAGGCTCAGGACCAGCTTAACATATATTTGTCACTGGTGTAGGCTGAGCAGGAATCGAACTCGGATCCCCCGGTTTGTAGCGCAGGGTGCTAACCACTGCGCGACCGCTCCCCCAGACACGCAGACACACACGCACACACAGCTCACACCTGCACTGCATGTTAAGACTCAAGCAAGAACACATTACCACAGCATAAGCAATATGACAAGCAGGTCTACACTGTCGTGTTCGTACCAGAACATGTACATGTTTTCAGAAATTCATTTTAACTTTACACGGTTTTGTTCAACATCATCAGACAAACCACCGTATTCTAGTTTGTTCTTCGCAACGCAATGTATTAGCAGTGATGACATCATACAGCGTTATTATAACATGGCAATAGACCACGCACATTACAAAACTCATGAATTAATCGTAGTTATGCAGCAGCAGCCGCACAACTTTCACAATATTTTTTTTTTTGCAATTTTAAAAAAGAACAAGCTGGACAAACCGGCACAATAAGGGAGCCTCCGTTGTCACGTGAACAGTAATGTCCGGTGGGGTCCTAGGATTCTACCTGCAGTAAACGTTAAGGCCACCAGCAGACAACGTGGTCTGTCCATTCCCACATTAGCTTGCGTTGTGTACACTATAGTGTATCACCCTTGTGAGTCATCATTGAATTTGACCTTGGCTAAGATGTTAGTAGGTCAAAGTTCTTGTCATTTGCTGTCCGATTTAACGTCGTTTGGTTTAGCGTTCTGCAGTTTCTATAGTTAAACAGTGGTATATAAGACTAACATATTTATACACACATACGCACAAATATTCCCCATTTAGCTTCATAGACTGGAGGGGGCAAGTGCTGTTAATGAGCACCTATTAAGGCCAGCATGGCGCATGAGAGAGAGAGGTGGTTGCGTGCAAGCATCATTCAAACCTGGCCACCTTTTTCTCTACATCGTTGATGCTGACACACCACAACAAAGTGTTTAGGCTAAACTAACCTCGGGTAGTGCCCCAAGGTAAGTTTAGAAATCAGCTGCCCGCTGGTGTCTGCGGCATGGCCAAGGAATCAAAGCCCAGGTAGCCAAGTTTGGAGAGTGAAAATGCTAACCAATATAACACCACGCCTCCCACACGCGCACACACAGAGTTCATAACAAGTGTGCCACAGTGAGGAGGCTCCCGAAAAGAAACAAAACCGGGAATACCAATCAATCACTTGTCTAGTATTTCAAAACTAAGTAAGCAAAACGACACATGGCAGTTTTAATATTACAATAATAAACAATGTATTAAAACGCAAGAAACTATATATGTATACATGGCTTTTTCTTAAAAAATATACAAAGAAATTACAGCCTTTATGCAAGTCCTATGCATTGTCATTTACAAAACGCAAACGTTCACCTGCAAATAAACTTACAAAAAAAAGGAGAAATGAAACAAGCATTTTTGTTCATTTGTTTTTCAGGATCTCGTGTATTAGTCTACAATTATTTACACGCACGAACGGGGTACGGTTACGTCGGGTGTCCAGTTTTGGACAATGCAATGTTGCGTTTCTTGTGATTAAAGGATGTGCAGCCTCTGTCCAATGAGCTATGTAGTTTAAGTCACATCACTGGAAATGTCTAACGTCTTCATCTCTTTACAGATAATACGGTTTAGCTAGCTGTGAAACGTAGCCCATAAAGAATACGGTGTTACATGACCTAACCCCAAAAACAAACACGGATCACAGTGATTACTTTGAAATATTTGCTTCAAAAAAACATACATCACATTTCCCAATGCTGTAACAGTTTAGATATTTTATGTAAAATTGGAAAGGTGGTCATTTTTGCGTGACATGAGTGATTTCCATGTCATAGTGTGGAGAAAGTGTTCAGGTGAAAACAGGTTCGTGTTTAAGGTTGGGTTAGAAACTCCACACAGTGTAAATTCAGGTTTTCATCGCTTTACGCGGCAGATGCGTTCCAAAACGATGGCGCACAAAGTGAAAACCCGTGGCACAGACTGTCACCCACCCACAATGCACCGGACAAGACAGCTGCCGACCAAGCAGTGCGTACAGAATACAAAATGTTGTCCCACGTCTGACCGCATAGCCACAAATGAGTGAATTCAAATCGCATCGAGTGAAATGTGGAGAAATAGGTTAGCCACATATACGCAAAATCGCACAAACCGAACCCGCATAAAGGGAGCAAAACGTGTACACGAGAGGCAGAATTACGTCTCATAAAATACATAATTCTTCACGTTTCCATTTTCATCATCATCATCATCATCATCCACAGTCAATCCACTGCTGGATGAAGGCTTCCTCAAGCTGCCACCAAACTCGGTTGCCGCTGTTATTTTTCTTAAACGTCCATTTCCCATTATCGATCTCTTCCAGTAACCGGTACTGCCCAGACCCACTTACTTTTCTTAACTTTTTGATGCCATTAACCTGGGTGTGTTCTCTAATACATGTGCCCCTCTTGCTGTCTCTTCGCGTATCTGTAGATATCTTTTGTTGCACTCTGGTTGTTTTATTATACCTGAATGGACTGATAATTTATATTTACAGCCATGGTAAAGATAAGTGAAATCCACGAATGTTAAGCTATACTCAACAACATAGATCCACTCAATGTGGTAAAGTATCTTGCAACAGCACTAACCACGAAACTAAAGCTGGTAAAGTTATCTTGATTCAGGACAAAATGTCACGTCAGCTCAAAACAAGTGGTCTCAATGGAGTTAAAAGTAAAAAAAATACAAGAATTAGCAAATTAAGGTCCATCTGCCTGGGTTAAAGTAGTTGGGGTTTGCAAATTTGGGAAACACATCTGTATTCTGCAAGCCGCGTCCACCTGCTGCAACATGCAAGATCCAGAAGCACTGAGAGCCACGTCTCGTGTAACTGCGGCGCATTCGCAGTGGAGGTCACCGAAGATTTATGGACATAAAATGTTACAGCATTTACTCCCACGTTATTATAAAAAAAAACACGCACCAAGTTTAACAAGCGGAAACTCAATATGTTCTGCAAAATTGGCGGTGTGTCTTTGGGCAGAAGGGAGGCCAACTTTCCCCGCGACCGTAAATGAAAACACTAGAGGCAATGTTATTTTAAGGTTCTTAATAGATTTGAAGTGTACCCTATGTAATACAATGTGGACTTTGGACGTGAAGAAGGTGCCAAAACTATTTTTTATATTACAAAAACACATTATCTGGGTAATACCCAAACTTCAATAAGAAAACTTACCCTAACATAACCTCCGCTAATCAGGTCATACACCTATTACACATGATGCAGTCTAATTGTTGCCATCACTGGACATTCTATGAAGGGGGCTTGAAGTGTATCCTGCCCTTATGTTGCTCCAACTTATTTTCAAAACTTGTTCCATAACAAAAGACCGTTTATTTATATTTCACCAAGACAGTACTTACGTAACCAGCGACAGCGCGTTAAGTCAATGCCTTAATGATAGAATGCTTGCGTGTGGTTCACATGACAGGCTGCTATGTTAGATTATGACCCATAGACTCCTAAATGACATCGACTTAGTAACAGACAGCAGTGGGGAGTGTGGGGAGGGGTAAATGTGTGACGGTACGATGGCACTCACGAGAAAGCCCCCAGCCCCATTGGACTCGGCAAACGCTTGAAATCCGAAGAGTAAAATCAATTGATTTCAGCCTTTGATTGACGTAGACCACGTGGGAACACACACACACACACGACACCGCCACTGACAAGACTCTATCAATCACAAGCGGCTGTGAAATGTCTGCAGCTTATATGAGAAGCGATTTCGAAGAATGGATCTGTTTTTTTTTTTTTAATCGCTCGGCTTTCATGCCAAATGCGCACAACAATGTGCATCATCCACAATGGGTTCAAGTGTGAACATGCCTTTCTCGGGATTAAATTTGTCCGTACCAACCAGATTGGGCTCTCCAGGGCTGAGTTCCAGAAAATATGCCCCCCCCCTTCCCAATCCTCCCAGCTGTCCATGGGGGGAGGGGGGAAGGGACAAATATTCCTGAAGAAATGAAGCCCTGGCAGCTGGCACCAATACTATATATCTTTCAAAGTGAAGGTCAAATCAACCACCCTATGTAACACGATCTCGCCCCATTCTCTAGAAATATATTTCTACGGATAGTTTGTTGTTGTTGTTTTCTGGTAGATGACAAGTTTCCTATAATAACAATTTCCGACAGCAAATAATTATTATATTCGTAGGTGAGTTGTATTCACTGACATACAATCTAATGGGCAAATTATATTATAACTTAGGAGGTAGAGAAGTATATGCCATCGCATGACATCACATACTCCGATAAAAACTAATTTTACCTGTGAATTGTGGGGGGGGGGGGAGGGGGCTGCAATAGCCTAATCGTCACCAGTAGGGGGAGTGTGTGCATGCAGAGGAAGCTGGTTTAAAACCACGTCTGTTATCGCTCTCGTGCTGTGCGCGCTTTCCATTACAATCGCCACTGCACTTACGTGTCAGTGTACACACGCGCATTATATGCTGCATTGAACTTAACTAGTACCGAATTACCATGTGAAAAAGGTGAGTTTAAGAAGAGGTGATTTTAAGAAGAATAAAATATGCCCAACATGTAAACACATTAACATACCCGAAAGTTTATACAATGAAAATAGGCATGTTTCCTTTTCAATATTAAGCTGTCTCAAAAGCAAACATCAACATTACTACATACTTCCAGCTATCAAGAACTGTGTCAAGAACCCATCGCGATAGCGTTTCGTGCAATATTATTTTAAAATTGTTCGCTGCTAAATAGAGAGCTCGCATTTTAAAGTACTTTACAGATAATCCTACAAAGGAATATCTCCATTTCTAAAATTCTAAAAACCATGTTTAAAATTGTTACACATCTTTTCAAATATCTATTGTTAACACAATCATTTTAGTAAAGTAATTGTGTGTTTTATCTTATACGTAAGCTTTCACGACCAATATGATTAGCTATTCGTTTCTGTTGGGTTAGATCATCTAGGTATAACGTCAATTGTTTGTTTTACTATAAACCTCCACGTGAGACCTCAAATGTTGTTAACAGCCGATGATGCTCGATGCAATCTCCAGCGAAACATCGGACCAAAAGTGGCAACACATTGCTTTCTTTACAACATTCTTGCGGTTTGCTGAAAAAAAAGAAAAATCAAATTACAAATGTTCCCACCACGTGACAACTTGATTTGATTGGAGCGGTGAAGTGGTGGAGGTTATACTGGTAGGAACCTCTTGGTTACACTAGCCCACAGGGGATTATTGTGTCCGTCGTGCAGGGAGGGGCTGGGTGGGGAGGGGCTGCTTGGGGAGGGTGGAGAGGGGCTGGGCGGGGAGGGTGGGGAGGGGCTGGGTGGGGAGGGTGGGGAGGGGCTGGGTGGGGAGGGTAGGGCTGGGTGGGAGGGGTGGGGCTGGGTGGGGAGGGGCTGGTCACCCCGTGGTGCCCTTATAAAACTCAACGTTTAACCTACTCACGCTGGCTTGTGCCCGCCCTCACAGTCGGGCATATTTGCGGAATACACCACGCCGCCGTTGACCCTGGCCATTGACCGAGCAACCCAACGTTCCTACCAGCTCCCTCCGCAGGAATGTGTTAGTTAAGGAAAAATACATTACACCTACACGATCTGACCCAACGGAAAGTTGTTATTAATCAAACCAGTTTATATTACCTTTTTGCATAAAAAATACCATTACGGTATTAATTTATAGATGCCGAAAATTTTGTATGCATTCTTTTTATAGCGGTAATCTAGTTTTAAGCCGATTCCGTTTAACAAATATCAATCATTGACATAAACAATTAAGAATGCACTGTAGCCAAGATGTGACGGTTCCTAACATCATACATTTAATTATTGTTGTGAATTGAGCCGTGATTAATATGTATCATACATTTCAATTAAAACTTATTACAAGTTTGCTTTGAAATTTGTTTGAATTTAATTAAGTCGAAAGCGTCAGGAAGTATATTAATATATTATTTTGCTCATTTACATTTCAACTAAATTATATGAACATGATCAGCATGCCGGAAAGGCAGTATAGCATATACCATGAATTTTGCAGGGAATGTCAAATTCCTTAGATATCAGTACACAAATATTGTATGCACACATTATATTGCCAGGGCACAATATTTCTTACATACCAGATGACCTGTGTTCAAAGACGTGACTTTACCGAAAGAAACAAGAAGATGAATCCCTGCAGTCACGAAAGCTTTAAATCGAAATTTAAGGTATTTATAAGTTGATATTTATTCCTGAGGGATGATCAAATAATCCCTTTGTAGATATGGATGGGGAAGGCCTTGATACAGCAGTGGATTGACAAAGCGTTGTAAATAACTATTATTATTTATAGCTGAAGGTACATTGTTATCCTTAAGAGGTTTTTGGGTTAAATCGATTGAATATAAATCTGTCGTTAAACTCGCTACCACCTGACACAGCCATTAGTAAGGTTTGTCATGTAAACAGAACAAGTAAATTCGTTACTAGTACGGCACACTGATATGTTGGAGAGTAAACCCACAACTTTTACAACTCCGAGTACGACGTTTCGTCAGTCATTACAACTAGCATCATCAGGCGACAGCCAACTCTGGCTGTCAATTCTGGCTGTCGCCTGATGCTAGTTGTAATTATTGGCGAAACGTCGTACTCGAATTGTAAATGTTGTGGGTTTATTCTCCAACACACCGGTGTGCCATACGAGTAACGAATAGGCATGTTCTGTTTATGTGACAAACCTTACTAATTGGCTTTGTCGGGTGGTGGCGGTGGCTTTAACGACGCATTCATATTTACACGATCTAACCCAAAACACACCTCTATTATGGATATTGGTCGCGAAAGCCTACGTGTTAAAAAGTTATATTATTATCAGACCACCACCAATGATCTGATTACACTGGAATATTTAAAAGTACTGTAGTTAGTTATCCAATGGGGAGACTTGCTCTCAAAATGTAAATGTGCAACTCCCACTGCTGGCTCAAAGATTATTTTTTTCGAGTAGGGATATTCGTAATCCTATGCCTACAAAAAGAATAACTACCAAAAAACACGTGACCCACCGCAGTTTGGTCCATAATTCAGAGCTACACTATTGTACAGAAAATAATAATTGGAAAGCACCTACAGTTTTAGTTGTGCTTTGTATAACGTCCCCTGCAATTACTTAAGAAACTGCGCGCAAAAAAATGTACACGTTATTAAACATGTACATTTTAGCTTTTTGAATCGAGTAAAAAAAAAGACATGTTCATACCATTGCATCTCTGCACCTCTTCCGAAAACAACGCTGAAAGCAATGGCACTCTTGAGAGAAATGTGCCGCGTGTAAATGCGCGCGGTGTTATTACTGCTGCGACTTAAATTATTCTCATTAACGGCGTTGTGACTCGTGGGAACCTGACTTGGCCGCAGTGGCACTTGTGAAATAATAACGCCTGTTATTATTTATTCACAACACATTTACACGACCGTAGCTGCACTGTGCAGAGGTTTATATTATGTGAAATGTCTAATTGAAGTTGATAGGTTCATAAAGCTATTGAAAACCACGTGCTGCCTTGTGAGTAAAAAATGGCATGCTGAACATTGTTGGGAAGTCAAAGATAATGTTTTAATAAAACTGGAATCTCTTTTTAAATTTGTCATTTATAGGTGCTTTTGAAAAATGCACGCGTATTGAATTCTGCTCGCAGCAATTCAATTTGTGGTATTAAATGCATTGCGACCTTTAGCTTGTTATTTCTCTTTGTCTTGGCATTGTTACAAGTGAGATACGTCACGCGTAACCATCTCCTCGGCTGATTGAATGCTGTTGCACTGCAAGACCACAGCAACGATAGGGGATGAAGCATTTACTTCTGCAGTGCGATTGGTCAGACTGTTCTGCGTGAGCATATATAGACGCAGACCTTGGGCTAAACCAACTTAAACATGGGTGAATCGCACAAAACTATTTCAAGCAACTAATTGCATATAATCGTAAAGGTGTCAATACGGTCCATAACCAAATATTTTTTTATGTAGCATTCAAAAGGTGGACATTTTTTTAACCTTCATGTATGCTTCATTTCACGGGGCTTTCTTTTAAAATAAGCATCCTGATTTACCCAATCGACTTATGTGACAGCGATTTATAAATGTATTGTAAATAATGTGACAATTATTGGTGTTTAACAAACGTCTGTGCATGATGCGTCCTATATTTGCTAGTTCTTGAAAAAGAGTTGCTGCATTTGTATATAATTCGGTACTACATTGTGCTATGTGGAATGCATCTGAATTACGAATTGATTTCATTGCTAAACTTTTATAATCAGTAATTATACATTTTTTCTTAAAATTTTTGTTCAACATCTTTAACATGTATTATATTAATGTTATTTTATATAATAAACAAAACATCCCTTTCATTCCCACAAGCAAGCAAGCTATTTTTTTAATATATAATTCCAGTGTGGAATCATAACACGGAGCATCCTTGCTAATAACATTAACTATCCAGGCAGATGAAGCAGCACAAATGATACATTCTAATCGCAAATATAAGTGACTGCCGAGTCCATAAAAAAATAAAAGTAACAATAATTCGAAAGAGCTTTCGCAACTGTTAAAGCGGCCTGCCACAAACCGTTGACACTTCCACTGACATCCCACCACTCACAACACAGCGTACGCGCAAACGAGACCTCACACAGCTCTCTCGTGCCAGGCAGCAGCAGCTCAATCAAGAGGTCCATTAAAAAAAATATATTACCTAAAAAATATTACCTAAAGCGAACGCACGTGCGCACACACACGCACGCACGCGCACTCATGCAAGCACGCACACGCACGCGCAGGTGCATACAAGCACGGGTGCAAGTGGGACGCTATTCGTTACCACCGCAAGACGTAATCAGAGTTTTCCACTTGTAATCAGATGAGTATATGTCATCAGGCATGACTGTAATTTACGTCGGCGTGTAATCTGATTACATGTAAGGACATTTGAAGGTGACGACGACATCAGCTCATTCCCCAGTTTTGACAGCTGTAGCGCCCTCCATGGAACTGTGAAATTTCTTCCAATGCCATAAGCGTGCCATTTTATTGGTTAGTCTGTTAATATTTGTATTTAGCACTGCCCACAAATCTCCGCGGGATACACATCCAGGGTTAAGGGTGGGTGGGATATCTCACGTCAGCGCGACGCTCGAACTCAGCCAGCAAAACTTTTTTTTCAAATACAGTATGATACTATGATTATTACTATTAGAAATTATTATTCATGATTAAGGGTAAATTAGTTCCTTTGGGCAAGCGTTTCCAATCGTGGGGAGTGGGTGTGGAACATGGCCTCATCTCCGAGGGGCTTTAGATTAAATATTCCAAACCCCTTCATTGCGAGTGGGGGACGAATTTCAGCACTGAGAGACACTTCTTGTGAAGACTCCAGCAGCCATAGCACAACCAGCCCAACCTCGGTTAACTAGGCGTTTTTCAATGTACATCACTGACGACCACGGTGCTGGGTCGGGGCTCTAGTTGGGGCAGGCAAAAGTCCGCTTAGGAATTTTCAGTCTCAGGTGACACACAGCAAGGCGGCTTCACCGATAATAAAAATGCACAGGCCACCTGTGACGATGGAACTTTGCGGGACACACGCCAGAATGGTTCACCCGTTAAACTGCACGAGCTGCAGGTTGAGAAAGTGTCGTCGTCGTCGTCACATTACAGATGCTCTTTGAGCAAGCCGCACGCATTAACCCAAAAAACCCACGGTGGATTACGTAGCCTCCTCAACCTGGAGCCATGAGCCATGCGACGGTGATGAGCGACGTCACTCGAATAGCCAAAACCATCGCAAGCGGTGGGTCACAGTCACCAACTAACAACAGCCGGACAGACAACAGGGTGGTGGTGGTGGGGAGGTGCCGCCACTGCCTTAGGCCAGGTGGTTGTTGGGAGTCGCTGGGGCAGCTGCCGTGGGCCCATTGAGGGGGTTGAGCGGGTTGATGGGCGAGGTGGTGGTGGAGCTCTCCTCGCCGTCGGGACCGGGCTCGGCGCGATCCTTGCGGTCGGTGTACTGGCCGATGAAGGAGCCGTCCTCGTTGAATTGCCCCTCGCCGCCCTCTCCGTATTCCACCAGGCTGTCGGCGCTACCGCCCCGGCGAACCGAGCCGTTTGGGGATGGGCGCCCGCCCTTGCCGCCGACACCGTCTGGAACTTTCTCGTCCTCACTGTGGAGGTGAGTGGAGCCATGGCGAGGGTGGGTGGGGGTTGGTGGGTAAGGGGAGGATGGGTGGCATGGATGCACGGATGGTCACGCATGCACACACGCACGGGGCGAAGGTGCAGATGGGTGTAGATGCGTGAACGTGCACGCGCGCTCGTACGCACAAAGCAACGGTGCGCTCTCGTATACGCACGCACGTACACGCAGAGACGCGAACTCACATATGGACTCGCACACGCGCACATATGCAAAGGCACAAACTCGCACGTGCTTGCACACACGTGTACATACACGCAAAGACACGAACCCATACACACGTGGACAGACCAGAACAATGTACATGCACAAACTCATACACACCTGGACACTCGCACACATACGCAGCACATACAGGCAAATGGATAAACTCATACACACATGGACATCCAAAGACAAACACACTCGCACGTGTGCACACAGGCGCAGGCAGGGGTGAACACACACACACACAAACACGTTTTCACCCAGACAGACCATCGGGCAGTGTTACTCGCGTCGTACACATATAACTAAGACAATCGGGCATGACGTATACGCAACGGACAATGAGAGCATGCTCCTAAGACTACCGCACGAACACCACGATGATGACACATCAAAAGACAAAGATACGAGGACGAACGCATAAAACAAGAGCGCGCAGCGATATTGCGTTTCAATGTATCACTGTACAATTTTTAAGAATCGGTTATTTTGTATTATTATTAGGCTCGTTGAGGCTCACTGAGTCTCAAGACTCTTTTTCAATGAGGGTCCCGTCAACGTTTTTTCAGTAGGGGGCGATGTTGCTGCTGCTATGCCTGATGCCAAGCGAGTAATGTTTCAGCATTTTGGATTACTTCGCCAAAAACCAGCTACGTTGCGTTGTTTTTTGTTCAGCTGTTGGAGGAAACCCATGCGGAAACATTTTGACAGAATGCAATCAAAGAGAGCGTTTCTCAACATCGCCATCATCATCATCATCTATGAGCTCTCATCAGCTGCTCTTGTTGTTATGCGAGCGACGTTGCCAATTGCACGATCTACCCACTATGACAAACAATACTGGCACAGCACCGACAACGATAGCACACACAGCACTGCTGGACTGAGGGTTTGCGCACACGCAAGCCTGGCTTTCTGTGACCTACCTTCCCAGGGACCTATGCACGTGAGAGAGATGTGCACGGGGACAGCCAAAGAAAGAGCATTAGGCTGGTTAAAAGTTGAACAGAGTGCAACGTAGAAAGCAAGCAAAGCGCAGGTAGCAAGATCCAAGCACTTTCATGGTTAATAGAAACGGAAAATGAAATGTCTCAGTTGCTGATAAATAGAATGAAAATAAAACTTGTTCTATTAAGTTTAATTAATCTGCAAATGAAAATCTTGAAATTAAAACGGAAACAAGTTTCAATCAATATGACCGTGCCTTGTTATTTTTAAATCATTGTCCTTATTTTTTCCGTTATAAATGCAGGAAACCTTCACTGAGCTTCACGGTTGTTTTTCAAGAGGTCCTTGCTCAGCATTATGGGTAAATTTCTTACTAACAATGTCTGAAAGGAAGCCGGCGGAGCTGCCGAAAGACTCACACATGCACACGCAAGGGGATAACTCAATTGCATAATGCGCAATAAGGGGATGACGCTGAGCACGAATATGATGAAGAAGTGCATGTTTTTTTTCTTCTTGGTTCTTTCGGTAAAGTCACGTAGAAGGGAAGTAATAAAATAATAAAAATAAAAGTGCATGTTTTTTGTATATTTTCACGTGTATACTTGAGGGTGTGTGTGTACATGTGTTTGTGGTGCCATGCCGTGGATAGTGCACCGCGCTATGAACCCGGCGATTCCACTTTAGGTAAGATTTTTAGGCTCGTGAAGCTGTTTTTAATGGACCTCTTGATTGAGCTGCTGCTGCCTGTCACGAGAGAGCTGTGTGAGGTCTCGTTTGCTCGTGCGCTGTGTTGCGAGTGGTGGGATGCCAACGGAAGTCTCAACGGATTGCGGCAGGCCGCTTAAAAAGTTGCGAAAGCTCTTTTCAAACAGGTTCTGAACCTTCCCTAGATCGACTCAGCCTTCAATGAGTACCTGGTGCAGTGTATAAACATTGCCACTAAGGAGACAAAGGTGACCGGGCATGGTGTTGGCCACCCACTAGTGTGCCGTGCTGGCCTACACAGGTGTCCAAAAACAGCACCTGCCACAACAGTTATGCAGGGGTTATGTGTGTGAATGTGAATACTTTAGCATGTAGACGTGAGTGTGTGAGTGAGTGTGTGAGTGAGTGCATTCACACCTGTACGTGTCTTCCTTCATCGGCTGTGCTTCGGGATCAGGATGAGCATCTTCCTTCTCTTTAACTGAGAAATAAACCAACAAAATGAAGCATTAATGATCATCTGAAGCCCCTTGGGAATCCTCTACACGCCATGCCCTATACTTCACCACGCCATGCCCTATACTTCACCACGCCATGCCCTATACTTCACGCCATGCCCTATACTTCACCACGCCATGCCCTATACTTCACCACGCCATGCCCTATACTTCACCACGCCATGCCCTATACTTCACCACGCCATGCCCTATACTTCACCACGCCATGCCCTATACTTCACCACGCCATGCCCTATACTTCACCACGCCATGCCCTATACTTCACCACGCCATGCCCTATACTTCACCACGCCATTCCCTATACTTCACCACGCCATGCCCTATACTTCACCACGCCATGCCCTATACTTCACCACGCCATGCCCTATACTTCACCACGCTGAAGGCAGGGCGTAGGATAATTTAAGGTGACACTCGTCACCGATGTTAGCTATGGCCGGGGAATGGAGTTCAGGTGCCTAACCAATTTTGTCCACTGCTTCCCCCCTCCCCTGCAAACATGCAAATAACAATACCACAATTGCTGTATTCCTATAGCTAGAGATCACTCTATTATCATGACAGTGATGACGGGGTGGAGCGGTGACACAGTGGTCAGCACACTGCGACAGGAACACGGCAATCTTTTTCCGACCGTGGCATAACCACCAGCAGCGAGTGATATCTTCAGCAGCCTACACTGACCCACATGGTGGTGGTGGTGGTGTACAGTCAACGAATCGTGAACGACATGGCAAGACAAGACGTCCTTCATCCAGCAGTGGACTGACAAAGGGGCTGTGATAGGATGATGTCGGTGGTTTTGATGGTGTACATCAGCGGTTCCCAATCTCTAAATATTTCTTGGACCACCGCATGCTAATAGTTATTTGAAATTGTACATTTCCTTGGTGAGGATGTTATTATTTTTCTTTTCCGCAGACCCCTGTAGTAGCATTGCGCACCGCCAGGGGCCTGCGGATCACAGGTTGCTAAACCGCTGGTGTACATACGTACGTTGAATTTCTTTCCTACCGTACGTAGCCAACTGTGCCAATCGGCGGTGCGGGGGAAGAACAACAAACCAAACACAAAAAAGCAGTTCTAAAAAAATCAGTTTTCAATATAGAGCCCATAGCTCCAGTGGCTTTCTAATATCGGAAGAGCATTCCAGATGGCCACATAAGCGCATCTGAAAGCGAGCGATGCAGCGACCATCTTTTTTCAATGGCTAGCCAAAAGTCACTGCGAGGATGACCTGGAGTTTGTGCGATGGTTTATGCTCCTTGACGAGATCATCAAGGTATTGTGGTTCATTTGTGACATGCACTTTGTGTGTAAGGAGTGCGACCTCATAATTATAATAATAATGACGGCGATGTGGAAACTCTTACCGGGATACTTCCCTCCTCGGTTGCGTCGTACGAAACAGATGATGAGGATGATGAGCACGAGCAGGACAATAGCGCACATGAGCCCGATGAACCAGCCCTGCGTGGGTATGTTCACTTGCTGGCTGGGTTCAGCTGTCAAAGACAACCACACAAGACATGAGCACAGAGCGATATAAAGACAAAGATCCCCCGTAGAGACTTAACAGACTGCTGGGGGAAAGTCCTGTTAGCGAGCACCTACGAAGGCGAAAAGACACACACGGGGGGTAGGTGGCCATCACCATGCCTGGCTGCCTTTGTCTCCCTAGTGACAATGTTATTGATTGTCACCTTCAAATCTCATATATGGTAGACTTGAACTCTGATGCGATTTTGGGTTGTACGTTTTTGCTCCACGTTCTGGGAACATCTTCAGGTACTGAATGTAGGCTCCCACCACGCGGAGTGAAACGTCACACAATGTGTTCAACAACACGTGGTATAAATCCTAACATTAAGCTTAATAATGTTGTTATCGAACAACCAATCAGAGAGCTATATAATACAATCATGAACAACCTACAGAGTATAGTAGTAGGGTTTTACCCTTTCAACTGGTACAAAACCTACAGAGTATGATTCATCTTCTTGTTTCTTTTATTTAATTAATTTAATTAAGACAAATCGGACCAAATTAACTATTAACATTTCCTGATAACAGAAAATATATAAGTTATATTTTGAGCAATGACCTGTCTTCAAAAGAGAGATCAGCAAGATATATATATATTTTTAAATCCCCCAAATGTATAAAAATTGTGCTTTCGACATCATTTGGAAGGCAGAGGTAGATCAGCACCCCGTGTTAGAGAATATTCCGCAGAAAATAATACCATAGAACTACTTCTAAGATCACTGAAAGTGACCTCTTAGATACGCTATGGATGCTATACATTCCCACATCCCCTGCTGTAGGGATGTTTGTAAAGTGGCAATTAAACATAAATGTAATATTACATTTTTTAAGAGTGGGATTTTGCCTAAATTATGTTTCATGTTTGTTGTCACCAAATGATTGGTGAATGAGCTGATACCATCAAATTGTTCTACTCAAAAATCTATTAACTTTTTTTATTTTAGCAAGTAAGGCCCACTGAGCTGTATAGCTCTTTTTCAGAAGCGACCTAGCCACAAATGATAGCTCACTTAAGTGGCTTATCGTGTGTAAATTTAAAGCAGCCAAATAATCTAAACGCATGTTGATTCTAAATGTGGAGACAAAAACGGGAGGACCCAGAGAAAAATTCAAGCAACCACGGAGAGAACATGCAAATTCCAAATATACAGGTGCCAGGGTCGGGATCAACCCCACGACCTCCACACTAGGCGAGGGAGATGACATCTCACCACTGTAGCACCTGGTTTCATAGCGGGTGGCTTACACCTACACCCCAAGTCAGGCTCTCAGCAGTGCTGGCGAAGTGCTCAAACTCACGTCAGCTGCCCAAATCTGAGGGAGTTTAAATTTGTAATTTAACAGTGTCCAAGGGTCCTTAGAGATGTACGTAGCTAACCGTGCTATTTGTTCAGTGATTCATATAAACATCTCGTGCAACTTCATGAAATAATAATATATGAGTGTGAAAAGACATACACTTTTCAGCGAGGGTTAGTTGTATATGAATCAAAATGAAACTTTGGCATTATTTAATTAGCCAAGGAATTATGAAGTAAGTTGCATTGAAGTAATTTATTTAACAGGATTTTTGTTTAAAATCTCGTCGTAAAATAACAATTCAAGATATATCTTCTTGGTTCTTTCGGTAAAGTCACGTAGAAGGGAAATAATAAAAATAAAACATAATAAAATAATGTGAGAATTTTATTTTATTGTTTTATTTTTATTATTGTATTATTTCCCTTCTACGTGACTTTACCGAAAGAACCAAGAAGATGAATCCCTGCAGTCACGAAAGCTTTACATCGAAATTCTATATATAATTTCAGATGTATTTTTTTTCGAGTAGAACCAACTGGGATTGCAAAACAAGATGGCAAATGGTAACCATGTAGTAGCTTGGCTTTCACCAACAGAGGGCAGTAGCACACAGACATTTACACGATCCACAGGCACAAAGGGAGGCACTTCACCAATTACGAACCGCCACAGTACTGCAGTTGCAGGAATGTAATGGCAAAAATATAAACCAAGGTGCTTGCATTACAATATTATACTTAAAACTGCCCTTTGATTTAAAATAAATGCACACGCAAACATACATTACCTCTGTGGATAGACAACCATTTTGGTGACTCCATGAAGTAAATAACAATGGTGTTAACAGCATACATGTACCTATTTGAGCAATGACCTTTGCACCATCATGATCATTATTGGTCACAAGCCACTGTTGTAAATTGTACGTTCCTATGGCCCGAGCCAGTCTTTTGAGTGGACAAACACTGCATGACTGTATCACCGAGTGGCACTACTGCACTAGATTGTGTTGATATTACGAAGCACAGATAGATGATGGGCTGATCAGAATCAGTACAGTCCTGTACGTATGTATAATTTTGATATGGTTTTGATGGTCCATGGGACATTGAAACGTGATGATCAAAAAGTCAGTATAAGGGTGTTATAACAAGCAGACCAAGTGTCTCTTTGCTCAAAGCAACATTCTTCTTCAGTGGCAGTCCTGAGCCAGTGAAGAAAATTCCACACTCTTATGAAAAAAAATGTCAGTGTCGACATCAAATAACCATATTTAGATTTTCACAAAGTGATAACCTAATTTATAAATACTAAAGGGATGATAATGACAACAACGGCGATGATTATGAAGGAAATAAATACGTGGGTTAAGACAAAAACATTTTAAAATAAAAACCCAATGCATTTGTCAATAACCCCGTGGCCTTAATAAACAAAAAATTGCCAACATGTTAGCCAATGGTCCTGCTTCATAGCACATAAATGAAGAAAACCATTCCCCCGAAACGTTGCCTATTATGATTTTTTTCCTTTTAAGGCCGCGCACTGTTATTGATGAATGTGTTGAGCTTTTATGTTATTTGTGCCCGTGCATCATCACTGCCAACGCAGCAGCGTCACCAAAATCGTCCACTTTCAAACCACGGTTCATCTTCAATTCCACTCTCACATGCAAAAGGGGCAGTGAAATTCATTTCGAGAGAAAACGACTCAAACCTCTGCTTCGGACAAACAAAAGTACGGAAACGACGAATTTGTTGTGCGGTGCGTTTTTTCTTTTGCGTGAAACATTCGAACAGCCTGACCGCGGCGCTCTCACCTCGGGCCTCAAAGACCACGGCCTCGCTGAAGCTAACGCTGGCCTGCAACGCCGACGCCAAGCGCATTTTGTAGGTTGTGCCGGCCTCTAGGCCCTGCACCACAATGTAACTCTGCGACGTGTTAACAGGAAGGGGTGCGCAGGCTCTTCTCCCAGCCCTCGACACCTCGGGGAGGATGGCGGAGTCCACGGGGTTGTGAGCACAGGGGGCAAGGCACGGGTACGCGGAGGGGATCGCACGCGCACACGGCCACGCACAGAAGCCACGCATGGGAATGCACGCGCAGGAAACGCACGCACAAGGCACACGATCCATGCGCGGAGACGTGTGCGTACACGTATTAAATCCATGCACACATGCACGCACAATCGCCCCAAAAGCAAGGATTCAAATAATAACGCACGGACACAGATTTTTCCGCACAGACACACGAGCAAAGATGCGCGCAGGCATTCACAATAATGCACGCGTAGGTGTCCGAGGGAGTGCGTGCAGTCATGCGCACGGATTTGTGTGTACGGACACGCAGGAATACACCCCACAGGCATGCACGTAAATTCACGCACAGGAATGCATGCATGGAAATTCACGTATGAAAACACGCGTCAGTGCACACACGGGGACAAATGCACATACGTGTATTGGTACGTGCAATTTAAGAATCGTTATGCAAGGGCACAAAGGTTCGGTGTACCCATATGTGCAAACACATGTAGGTGTATAACGCACACATACACATACGCACACACACACACAGACACACGCGCAGGTATGGTGGACGTACCCATAGACACACGGACACACACACACACACAGAGGGGTGTGGACGGGGCAGAGGAAGGCAAAAGAGAGAAAGTGAACAGAGCAGAGTTAAAGTGAATGCACGGCAAACATTTCATCGTCACGTTAATAATGTTCAAGAGGCAACTGAAACAGCAAAGTAGGAAAATGAAAAAATGACAGGGAAAACGCACGTAAGGGTCGTAAGCAATGCCACGTGACATTTTCAAAACTACACGTGATTTGTTACTCATGCAATGCAAATTAACGTAGGTCTGAACAGGTTAGGGTATAGTGTGCTTTCCCAGATTATATAACTTATTAACAAAACGAAATATTCAGTGTGCATGCATGCACGTGTGTGTGTATGCAAGTTCCAAAGAAATATCCTGCATATTGCAGCATTACCTAGTGAACCCTATGTCAGAGTGCACAATAAGCATAGTTTTAGAGGTCAGAGCCAGCTTCCATCGAGTCAGCAGTTCTATTCTAATTACTTTCTCCAATAATTTCTGCAGCCAATTAACAAAGTGTTCTGCCTTGCAGCTTACATCGGAGGGTAGGAAAAAATCCGTCTGATGTCAGCTGCAACCTCGTACCACTGTGTGATGGCATCATCGCTTCAATCCCAAAAATCTAATAAATCTCATGAGGGTGACTATAATTCGTCATAACAGACTTCCATAATCCGCCTTGTAAAGGGATAACGAATCTGACTAAGCTCTGACCTGGTGAAATAAAGAACATAATGGGATCAATCATTCAGATTACTGGATTCACACTTTCACTATATATTAAAAACTACAGTTATGATTATTTATGTCCCTCCAAAACAGTTTGTTTTCTTTGGTTGAAAAACAAGAAATTTGTTTGAAATCAGCAGAAATGTTGGCCACGTAGGAGCAACATATGAATGAGGTCAAATATCTTATTTTAGAGATTGATTTAAACCAAGTTTAATTATGTAATTGTCATTACCACTATGATAAAGAGGAGGATAAGATATTTCATTCTGCTATGCAGTTTAGTTCGAAATACTTTACAACAATACGTTTATTAAAACGGCCCTGTAACCGAAGAAAATAATTAGCTAAAGTGTCCAGCAATGGGAGTTCTCCGCTGTCAAGGGCCACTCCCTTTAACTTAAACCAATTTCTACAAATAAAATTTGATGTGTCTCTTTCTGCCCCGGCGAGCAAAGGTAATCCTGAACCAGTAGTGGAAATTCTCCATTCCTTATCTAATCCAGGGACCACTCACTTTAAACTTCTTACAAAGACATATTTATGTATGTCACAAGGGGGGTGATGGGCTGAAGTGACAAGCCCTGACTGGGATGCACACACACACATTGCTTAGGAGGCAGCGTTTATTAACGATGAACGTGCCGTCGATGTTTTAGCCTGCGCCTCTCGAACCCCGTTGCACTGTCGGGAAGTTGACCTGCGGTGACGGTGTGATGCTCGGCTATCGGCGTACGTAAAAGTGTGTGTGGCATTAGCGCCGGTGCTTACTGTTGTTAAGCATGTACTCGATATAAAACACCGTGCCGGCACGGAACGCTGCCGGCATCCAGCTCACGTTAGCAAACTCCTCTCCGGCCACCGACACAATCTGGGCTGCTGGTGGCAAGGCACACGCGAGCACGTATACAAAACTCAACGAGATACATACTCTTAGTTCTTTCGGTAAAGTCGCGTAGGTAAAAAATAAATTAAATTAATAAAAAATAAAAACAATAAAATCACGACGTTTCGGAGGCAACACAAGTCTCCGTCTTCAGGTGAAACTATCACAGCTGAAGACGGAAGCTTGTGTTGCCTCCGAAACGTCGTGATTTTATTGTTTTTATTTTTTTATTAATTTTAATTTCATTTTTTACCTACGTGACTTTACCGAAAGAACTAAGAGTATGAATCCTTGCAGTCACGAAAGCTTCAAATCTAGACTCAACAAGATACATACACACATCACAACGATATGCACATGTGTACACGGCACCAAAGAAAGGGATCCGCCGTTTTGAGTTACTGGTTGTAAATGCCGTCCGCGAGCACCTATTAATGCCAGCACGGTGCATGATGGGAAGAGAGTATGGCAAGCACCGTGCCTGCTGGTCTTTGTATCCCTGGTGCTGATTTTTTATGCACCATAGCAGGTACTGACTTAAGATTGAGTCGACCTCAGAGGATGTCCACAACAGGTTTAGATACCACATCGCTACTGAAGTTGTGCAATTGCCGGCAATCCAATATAGGTCATCGGATAGTGGCGTCCATTCAGGCTGGCAAGGCATTCGTGGGAGTGGTGCGGCTAGAATCAGGCCTGCCTGCTTTTGCCTCTCCAGCGCTGATGTATGCACACTCCACCCGAGTAAGCATTGATAACAGAGTGTAAGGGTTAGTGCTGTCTGTGAACAACCACTAATATATTACGACAAAGATCCCCAGTGTAGCCTTCAACAGACCTTTTGGGAAAATGCTGTTAGCAAGCACCTATTAAGGCTAGCACGGCGCACGAATGGGTTGGTGGCCAACACCACGCCTGGCTGCCTCTGTCTCTCCAGTGTTGCTGTTTACACACTGCACCAGGGACTCATTTAAGACTGAGCTGACCCTGGGGGAGGCTTAGGAGTAAGACAATCGTCACGATGTTGGCCGTGAACGGGTATCGAACTGGGGTCGCCGGGTTCATAGTGCAGCATGCTGACCGCCACACTACCACTCCGCACTAAAACTATGCACGCACACACATTTACACGCATAGAGACACACACACACGCGTACTCACAACACACACCAGTTGCAAAAGATAGGCAAATGTGCTGTGTGAGCACTTACTAATTAACTTCTACTGAGTAGGTAGTAACGGTTGTGCTGCATGGCCCTGCGGTATTTTTTGGGATTGGACCTCGTGTTGTTGAGCACGATGTCTGATGCTTCCAGGAAGTGGAGAGAGCGTCAGATGCAATAAAGAACAGCACGCGGTGTGACGCATAAACACATCGGAGAGTGACACCTATTAATCTGTTGATACACAAACAGATGGATCGGCACATACAAGTGCCCACAACTATATCCGTCCGGGTGCATCAACATCCTCAAGCCAAAGGCAAAATCAATGCAGAGATCGATTGGAGGAAAATGATCCGCTCGTTGGTGGCTGAGTAGCCTGGTGTTTAGCACAGTCAACACTTATCCACTTTGCATGCAGTCAATTGTTCAGTTCCTACAGATGCCCGGTAATTTCTGTACCCCATTAATTGCCAATTTGACATTCAAAGCACTGCGAGATCATCATTTTGCGAGAGTAGGCCACTACTTGTGTTTCACTGTCGCAGCACGCAGGTCGATTGGCATGCTCCAATGCTCCATCTCTGTGTGATCCACTAACCCTGCTGCCAAGTCACCAGTGTTGGTATGCGCGTCACAACACCTGGCCACCACCATCGATTGAGCGGCACAACCAACAAATCAGTGGTGGAAATGCCACATTCCTATGACGAGAGCCACAGATTCCACATGTGAAGTTATCTGCATGCATAAGCCATGTGGTGGAGCTTGTAAGACTCTGTAGAGAAAGTACATTTCTGGCACGCCACAAATGGGAGCAGATTGGCCCATCGGATGTCCACTTTTGACCTGTCAGAGCGGTACCTATTTTATTCACCCCAAAGGGATGATAGGGTTGAGTCGTGCCCCAACTGGGATTTAGCTTGGGTCGTTCTAATTGTGAGCCAAGTGCTCCAAACAGAGCGAGACCAGACAGGGCATTGAATATTTCATGCACAGCGCGACGGGACTTTCATCCGAAGCCGTTCTTTACGCAAGGCTTCTGCTGCAAGGCTGGCAAGACAAGAAAGGGCACCGATCGGCAATATGAAGCCACTCGGTGGCAGGTGAAGGCAATCAGGGAATGCTTCGTGGAAGTAATGATAAGTTATAGACCTTAACTTGGATGTGATGAAAGAGCTGTTGGGAGTGTTACACTATAGCTCAGACCATCGTGGTTGGGGTATGCAAAACACGTGCATCATGTGCAGGCACTTCATACACATGGGCATCGGGCACGTATACACAACGTACAGTACACACAACACGCAACTTCATGCGTAGGTAAGGCAAAGGTTAACTTTAAAGATGAACATGGCAATTGATTTTAGCGATTACCGGTTAAGGATGGGATGTAAATTTATGGTAGGGTGAGGCAAAGCATTAGTCATACCCGGCCACATTTATCTCTCTAAGATTAATTTTCATTATCACACTACACCAGGGGCAGAGCAACAGGACATGCTCAGATACCAAATCGCCACTGTAGCTGCTAGGACTGCAGTGCAGTGTGGTAAACACTATACCACCCCTTCCCCATAATTATATTCATGAACAGACACACAAACACACGTGCACGCAACCAACAAGAATAAGAGGTCATCACTGTCCATGCCGATAATACCAACACACCTCACTATCACCGCCTTCCTTCAGCTGGGTCCCACAGCTGTTGCAAGGTCACGCGATCTCCACAGCTTTCCCACTATCTGGCTCTGTAGGTCCTGCCCCTTGGTCATCGATCTCTGGAATCCACTCCAGTGCCTCTCTTGGTAACCCATCCTCTCCATCCAGCACATGTGCCCCACCGATTGCAATGCGACACGGTGGAGAGATATTAACTACCTCGCCTGGTATGCAGTATACAGGAGGTCGTGGGTTCAATACCGACCATGACGCCTGTCTGTATATTTGTAGTTTGCATGTTCTCCCCATGGTCGCGTTGATTTTTCTCCGGGACCTCCGGTGTTTTCGTCCACATTTATAAACATCCATACAGATGACTTGGCTGCTATAAATTTCCACATGGTAAGCCACTTTGTTGAGCCATCGTTTGTGGCAAGGTCGCTTCTAAAAAATAGTTATATAGCTCAGTGGGCCTTACCTGGAATAAAAAAAAAACGCTTTAGTTTAAGTTTATTGCGTTCCTCTGCAATGCCAAACACGTTGGTAAATGTAAATACAACCAGGGAAAAAAACGTTGTCGGAACAGCGTTGCATTTTCTTTGTTCAAACACTGCACCGGTCCTGGGCTTTTCATTTCGAGCACAATCAGCTGGGCCGATCTCCGAGGGTAAAACCCCTACGTGGAACAATAATGTCAGACCCAGCGATGCAAGGCAATGTTTCCAGAAAATATGTCATTGCAAAGTTATTAGGAGTTTTGGAACGAAATTAATATGGGCATAACGGGGCTTAGGTTTACTTCTTTGAAAAAAAAAGACAAGAAGCACGGGTTGCTACAAAATTGGCTGTGGACCAGTTTAATCAATATTGATAGATTATGATGCCATATCCTGACACATAGAGCCAGTGGTAATACATAGTTTCATGGAGGCAAATCAACTGTTGTTATCTTAGTCTCTATTGTGGATTGGACTAAATTGGGTTGTTCTCCCAGATGGGTACCCATCATTGACTGACTCTTTTGACCTTTTGTTCGTATGTTGCGCTGACTAAGAGACTCCTGTGTGTGTGTGTTATGTTCCACACTCAAGAGAGCACTGGACAGTGTTCCTCTCCCCATGGATGCTCTGAGCCAGTGGTAGAAATTCCACATTCCTCTGACAGAGTTCGCTTCTCCATAGGACAACCACTGGTCACTTCCCATAAAGTGGAATTTATTTTATTATACCCAGAGGACGATTGGTTGAGTCAACTCTATACAGGGATTTGAACTTGTGACCTTGTGGATTGTCAGTCAAGCAAGCTAATTACAGTGCCACCAAGCCAAATTTAATCTCAGGATCTCAAATGTGCAGGCTCAATGCTCTATAAATGTTTTATTAACTATTTTTTATTTATCAGGTAAGCAGGTAAGGCCCACTGTGATATCTAGCTGTTTTTCATAAGCGACTGGCCACAAATGATAGCTAAACGAAGAGGCTTATCACATGGACATTTATAACAGCCAAATACTATAAACGCATGTTTATTCTGAATGTAGAGAGAAAAACCGGAAGACCTGGAGAAAATCCACACAACCAAAGCGGAGAAGATGCAAACTCCAGATATACAGGCATCAAGGTTGGGATCGGACCTACGACCTCCTGTATACCAGCAAAGGTCGTTAACATCTCGCCACCATGGAGCCCTGACACAGGTATCAGCATTGGCCACCTTTGCAAGAACCAGCCACAGCTGAGAGCAAAAGTACATTTGACAAAAAACAGTTACAACATACACTGTCAAATAATTGAGAAAAAAAAATGTGGGGTGGCTCAACCACTGTGAAAACCAAGTCACCTTGTGCTGCACTACAAACAGCAGCTGCTAGACAGACAGTTTTAGAGCAAAGGCACATTGCAGGGTAGAAGTGAAACAATTATGAAAAGTTTTCCTGAATTTCGAAAGGCTTCCATCCTGCGCAAAGCAGGTGTCAGTGGAAGGGTCATTAGGTAGTGAGGAGAGGTTGTAAAGTGATACGCTGTAGAAACACAAGTAGGGGCTGACATTCTCACGCCTATGTCATTACATGCCGTAAGGATATATCCTACAGAGTGTGGAGTTTAAGTCTGACGAAACGAATGTAGATTTTTGAAATGTTTGTACAACTTTAAACGGATGGGTCTGTGCAAATGATTTATCGCTATGAAAAGTATATACGCCTGCTTAAGCACGTGGGGTGGGCCACTCATCTTTGTTAGTGGCCCTGAACAAGTTGGTGGAGATGTTGCATTCCCATGGCAGGGTCAAACTTCTCGACGCAAAACTATCGTTGATTCCCCCATAAAAGCGGTACTTATTTTACCAATCCAATAAGAATGACGGGTAGTTGACTGCTGGCAGTGAGTTGCAAACTCTGACCACACAGCCACCAAGCAAGGTATGTTTATATAAGGTGAAGGTGCGGCGCTGAATTCGCTTGCTCACTCCAGTGCAGGCGGATGTGTCTCCGCTACAGGGAGCTCGACAGAGCCCCGCCAGAGGGTATTTGGCCTACTCTGTCACACTGGCCAGATGTGTTGGAAGAGCTGGGGGGTACCCACACTTTACCCCACCACACTCGACCTGCCCCATCGAAGAGCCGCGGCACACCCATTTATCCTGCAGGGTGGACAGAGTGGGATTCAGGAAGTGTGCCCCATCGATTCACTTACACACGGGGAGTTTGAATCAAAGTCGTGACCGGTCCAATGCGTGAACCATCACAACATGGCAGCATCTACCATGTATGTAATCCTATGTATTACAAAGGCATGCTATCGCACAATATGAATGCTTCTATTCTTAATGAAAATGCAAACTTTCATGCTTAAGTCAGGAGTGAAGTGCACGCACAACCACATTTTCGACACGTGTGCATTATTTTTCACACGCACACACACACACTTTTGATTATGTCCTCATGCTGGATTCCATCGGATATCTCATAAGTCAGCGAATATGACACTTGTGTGACCATTTCAGATCTGGTCTCCAATGTTGCAGCCAAGCGGAGGTTGGCACGGAGCGTTTCTTTGGAATTTCCTCATGGCGCGTTCCTAGCGCTTCCTAAATCATCTTCTTCTCCTGACCCATCTCAGTGCTGAACTCATTTTGTATTGTACAGTCACACACACGCTGGGAGACTATGGCAGGGCTGTCTCGTGCGATACTTTTAAGTAGGCATCTGACAGAATGCTTCCGTACAGTCGTTGACTCAGAAACAACATAAATATTACATACCCATCCCTCTAACTTTACTGTGCTAAAACTTTATTTTTTATTTTTTATTGTCGGCCAGTGGTTTCATTTGTTCTCTGGACCGCATGCCATTGTAAACAAAAATTATTTGTGCGTGAATCGCTAACTCTTGCTGTCGTTTTTTCGAATCTCATTGCGGGCTATATTTATTTATTTATGAGCTATTTTCTTGGTGCAAAACTACGTGCATGCTAATTCACTCGGTTGGGTTTGTGGTCGAGCCAGCTGCTAATGCAGGACAGTGGTTGACATCTCACCAAGGTAGCGAGATGTTAACTACCTCGCCTGGTATACACGAGGTCGTGGGTTCGATCCCGACCCTGATGCCTGTATACGTTGAGTGTGCATGTTCTCCACGTGGTCGCGTGGATTTTTCTCTGGGTCCTCTGATTTTCCACTCCACATTTAGGAATATGTGTTTAGAATATTTGGCTGCTATAAATTTCCACATGATGATCCGCTTCGATGAGCTATTATTTGTGGCCAGGTGACTTCTGAAAAAGAGCTGTATAGCTCAGTGGGCCTTACATGGCAAAATACAAATTGTTTATTCGTTTAGTTTTTTAAATGATAAATTTCGACTGAAGAGCATCGGCAAATAGCTCTGAGACCCAGACACTGAAAAGAGTCCTGAGACTCGCTGAGCTTTTCATCGATAAATCAGTGGTGAAAAGAGAAAGTGTCTCCACGTTAAAATTAGCTCTGCAGCAGCACTCATCCCTCTTGGTGGCTCAGAGCCAATAGTGGAAATTCCATTTTTTCTGGAAGTCATCAAATCGCCAACATATTTAGTACGCTTGGTTATTCGCACCATTCTTAGGGCGCAAGGCTATTTATGAAGGCACTGTTTTACAGATGATCATCGTCTCAAGTAGTTTACTGCACAGAACAACTCTGCTGACTGCCCACAAAGAAGGGATGATGGGCTGCTGTCAATTACCAATCAGAGGGTGACCTTACGACATTTCAATTGTTACTTGAGTGTCAGTACAAGAGTGCACGCCTGGGCAGATCCACATCGTTAGAAATCCTGACAATTATCTCCAAGGTTATCAGCAAGTGTAAAACAGATAAAAAAATTAGGAACATGGATCAGCATTTTAATTAACATCCACGTTGTATATACATTTAAAATATGCACCCATAGCTAGAGTCAATTGGGACAGGCAGTTGATTGAACCAATGCAGCAGTAAAAGTCAAGGAGAAGTGAATTGTTGAACATCTGCACCTTGAGAGGTGACTGTGCAGGGTTTGCTCAATTATCTGAAAGGCGGCCAGTGATCCATCTGTGATCACTCCCCAGTGTCAGCTGTTAGGTTTCCAATTCACATTTGTTTTTTTAATTCAAATAAGTGCCGCTTAGTTGAATAAAGGCGATTTGGAAAATCTATAGGGTTGGTCAAAATGTATGGGTCCTATTTATGAACGTTATTTTTTTTCTAAATATATATTTATCAAATAAATGCATTTCGAATACAGTGAATAACTTTAAAAGCACGTGACAGACTGCTCCCATTTCTTCTAAGATGTCTGGCCAACATGGAAGAGTAGGCCAAAAATACTCCCTGGAGGCCTCTCTAAGAGTTCTGTCCAGTGGATGCTTCTCCACTAGCAGTGGCCTTGAGTAAGACAACGCAGGGCTGTACCTTGATTTTACTTTAAAACAAGACATCAATAACAGCACACGATGGCATGAGCGGCCATTAAGAAAACATTCATCCATTTTGGCAAAACAGAAAATGTATGCAACTCATTTGAATGGAAAAACAGGGCAACCTTGACTCAAGCAGGCCGAGTCATTTTTCCTCATTCTTAATGGTAAAAACCCCGTAAGTGTGGGTGTAGTGTATACATATTTCTGTCTTTGTGGAGAGTGGTGGCACAGTGGTTAACACACCCCAGCAACTAGAGTTTGATTCCCGCTCAAGACAAGTAACAGTGGCAAATATATGAACCGGTTCTAGACCTCCCCGAGGTCGACTCAGCTTTAAAAAATTTGTTGCTAAATGTGGTGTGTAAACATCAGCACCGGGGGAGACAAAGGCAGCCGGGTATGGTGCTGGCCACACATACCATCATACGTCGTGCCGGCTTTAATCGGCGTACGCTAACCCCACTTGCTCCAGCAGCCTACATTTTGCCTTTGTGCAAGTGCCCGTGTGTATATGGGGAGCGGTAGTGCAGCGATTAGCGCACTGCGCCACGAACCCAGCAACCCATATTCGATTCCCGCTCACGGCCACCAACACCAGTGACAATTATCTGAACTGGTCCTGGGCCTCCCCTACGTCGACTCAAGACTCAAATGAGTACCTGTCGCGGTGTGCAAACATCGCCACTGGGGAGACAAAGGCGGTCGGGCGTGGTGCTGGCTACGCACCCCCTCGTGTGCCGTGCCGGCTTTCATAGGTGCTCGTCAATTGAACAGTCTGTAAAGGGTATTATGGGGGAGCTTTGTCTTTGTGTGTGTGTGCTGGTTGGTTCGTGGGGTTTGCGTACCGCGTTCCATGACGGTGGTTGCCTCCTCGAAGGCGGCGGCACCCAGACCCGCGTGTGTGCGTGCCCGCACGTACACCTTGTAGCGGCCGTTTGGAGGAAGGTCCCGCAGGGTCCAACTGGAGGCGTTGGCCGTGGGGATGTCGATGCTCTTCAGCGGGCCCAGCTCATTCGTGTAGTTGACTTAAGGGAGGCAAACGCACGGACGGACGGATGGACGCACACACAGAGAGACTGAGAACAGGACGTACAAAGAGTTGGATTGTGCTATGTTACGTTGCAGGCGCAGTTTCGTCAATTGGCCGGTCGTGACCGGTGGGGTAGAGTGTGGGTTTACTCTGCCTCTTACAAGATGTCTGGCCGGCATGGGAGAGTAGACCACATACCCTCTAGAGATGTTCTTCAGAGCTTTCTCATATCAGGGCCCTTCTGCCAGCAGTGGCATGAGCACGTGTTTTCAGGACTGCATCTATAATTTTTACATTGCATCGCCGGACAGTGAGAGATGGCAATAGCTTTGGAAGGCCTTCATCTAGCAATGGATCGATCGTGTTTGATTATTATTCGGTTTTATGTACATGGGATGGGGTACAGGCAAAATGATACATATTTAGAACATACATTTTTTGAGCTTTAATGACCATCATATTTCAAAGGTGAAAAACACATTCCTGCGGAGGGAGCTGGTAGGAACGTTGGGTTGCTCGGTCAATGGCCAGGGTCAACGGCGGCGTGGTGTATTCCGCAAATATGCCCGACTGTGAGGGCGGGCACAAGCCGGCGTGAGTAGGTTAAACGTTGAGTTTTATAAGGGCACCACGGGGTGACCAGCCCCTCCCCTACCCAGCCCCACCCCTCCCACCCCCACCCAGCCCCACCCTCCCCACCCAGCCCCACCCTCCCCACCCAGCCCCACCCCTCCCACCCCCACCCACCCCTCCCACCCCCACCCAGCCCCACCCTCCCCACCCAGCCCCACCCCTCCCACCCCCACCCACCCCTCCCACCCCCACCCAGCCCCACCCTCCCCACCCAGCCCCACCCCTCCCACCCCCACCCACCCCTCCCCACCCAGCCCCTCCCCAGCCCCACCCCTCCCATTTTTTGATGCACGACGGACGGACACAATAATCCCCTGTGGGCTGGTGTAACCAGGAGGTTCCTACCAGTATAACTAAAAAACAAGTACAAATTTGTAAGCAGTCAACTGTGGATGTTTATGGAAAGACTGGCCGTTTCCATAAAAAAAACGTGTAATTACCACCATTCGTGCTGAGCCGTCAATAGGAAAGAATATCAGTGAATGCTCATCCGAGTAGGAAGACACATTGACTTTATATTTTTTCACATTTTCCTAATCCTCAAGTGTGTAATAAAGAACATCAACGATGACTCTTCTAAATCAATTTAACGTGACAAGAATGTCAAATTATAACCAAACGGAACAATTTATACAAGTATACACAGATATATATCTGACAAAGCCATTTGCTCCTGGAAAAAAAAAAAAAACTGGCTTCTCCGACTCACAAGATGGTTCCCAAGGCCTTTGAACGAGACATTCATCACTTATCGTGGCTGAGAGCCATTCCATTCAGTGCTCATTGGCTCTCACGTCGCGTCAATCAACCCTCCCTCGTTCGCTCCAGACGGTCGTGCATTGGACCCCTTAAATTCGTCGGTGGGGTGCAATTGTTGTTTTGTTCTGCGTGCAGAACACGCAGACTTGAGAGTGCGGACTTTGACAGCGGAGCTCATAAATCATTCTCCCCCGACCCAACCCCCACTTCCCCCCCCCCCCCCTGCAAGCTGTCACTATTTCTCGGCAAAAAGGTGGCGGACTTTCGGCGTTGCACGTGGCGGCCCAATGTCGTGTGTGTCGGGTTTGGACAGCCGTCTGTCACGAAGAGCTCCTCCGGTCACGATGGATCACTTGGCTTCCATCTTCGCCGCTTGAACGCTATATTCACCGAGCGCTCATTTTAAACATGTTCTACACCATTATGGCACGCAACTGTTCGCGTGTGTGTGTGTGCATAACGCTGTGGGGATCCGTGATGTCGCGGTTTGCACGCCGTGTTCCGAACCCGGCGATCTGAGTTCCATCCCGCACATGGCCAACACCTGCGATGAATATCTGAACTGGTCCTGGGCCTCCCCTAGGTCGATTCAGCCTCAAATGAGTCCCTGGTGTGGTGTGTAAATATCGTCACTGGGGAGACAATGGTGGTCAGGCATGGTGCTGGCAACCCACTCCATGCCAGCCTTCATTAGTGCTCGCTAACAGCACTTACCCTAACAGTCTGTTAGAGGCTATATGAGCGACCTTTGTCTTTGTGTGTGTATGCGAGTTTGTACGTGCGCCTGCAAACGTGTGCACGCATGCAGGTACACGTGTCGACAGACATTCAAATACTTACACTCAACAACAAAACTACCATTAGCCATTAAGTGGTGGTGACATCACCACAGCGCTTGTGCCAGGCTAGGTGCAATTGAAGCCACGTGAAGTGTGAGAGGCTCGCTGGCAAGAGGTTACAGAACAGATCGAGGTGCCATGATCAAATCACGCCGAATGCGTCCAGTCTCATCTCACAAGCTAACAGGGCTGATCTTGGATTGTGCTTGTGTGGGCGACCTCAATGCAACAACAGTTGTGTTGCTCCTCCTTCATCTGAAAAGTGTGTAAAGTTCAAATCGTGGTCGTGGATTTTCTCAACCCATCATCCTTCTGGGGGTCGATAAAACTAGTTGTAAAAATAAACGTTTCCCTGTCATAGGAATGTGGAATTTACATCCCTGGCTCAGGGCTACATATGGATACGAGCTCTGGTTGATGCTATATTGAGGTTCCACATGTTATGAGCGTAGAGCATAAATATACACTTAGAGGCACACGTGTCGCTGTCTAACCATACGGGACAGCGCTGCAATTATTTGCTACAAGTTTGTTATGCAAGAATTCTATTTCAAGGTGACTGCAGGCAATGCCGAGTTTTATCTTTGAGCATCTCAATGCGCCCATCCTATCCATTCAGATCAACACCACGTGCTGATGTTCGCTGCTCTGTATTCCTAACCAGTGCAACCTTGACGATGCCCTGCCTGTCGTTATTCAGACGGGACCCCACTGAGAGCTCGGTCGTTGTTTCTGATTCACTAAGTGAGGTCTTACATCTGCCCGTTTTTGTCTGCCGGCAGGGCTGTCTTTCTGAATAGGTTGGCCATGCAAATATCTGGCTGATTTGCTCAGTGAATAGCTTACAAGTATTAGTTATCTATCTTTCTGTGATTTTATATCACTATACGTGCAGTTATTTACGTGAAAAAGTTTCTCTTTATCTGTAAAAATGTATAGTGCTATCTCTCTGTGTCTGGCTCAATATGAGTTATGTTTGTTCGAGACATGCTTATTATCTGTTTGCATGTGTTGACATTATCAACTCAACATCTATTTACACGTCTATCTATAATCAGAAATAGCTGTATGTCGATCTACAAATATGTCTGCAAGTTTGCATGAAAGTTTTTAATAGTGACTTCTTTTTTTAAATATTAAAACACGAGAAAATATCCCCATCCACTCATGTGAACTCTTGTTATCGATTGCAACTTTTATGGTGCTGTTTGCTACTGACTGCTCAGCAACCGTGCTCACAACACCAAGGTGTGACTATTGAGACATCGTCACAAATGCACTTACAAATATGCTTCTTAGTTACAAAGAAGAGATTGTAATGATATCAATATATTTTCTTTTACCAGGCCAGGCCCACTGAGCTATATCGTTATTTTTCAGAAGCAACTTGGCTATCACAAATGACAGCTCAACGAAGTGGCTCATCGCGTGGACATTTACAGCAGACAAATATTCTCAATGCATGTTTCTAAATGTGGAGGGGGAAAACCTGAGAAAAATCCACGGGGTGAGAGACACGCAAACTCCAAATATACAGAACACGTTCGCCATTCTTGTCGCGTGAGCATTGTTAATGCGACGCTCATAGCAAAGCTAAGCCCGAGTCAGGTCAACCAGTGAAACTCTAACACGAGAATGCACTTTCTTCACTCGTAAATGTCGACAGACAAGCTGAATGAAAAGTCAGACATTTCCAACAGTTGTACGCCAAGGAATTCTCCAAGCAGGATCCACATTGTACGTATTTCACATTTGATAGCAAAGTTTACTGGAATGCCATGGCTTTCGTTTGGAAGAACAATCACTATCATCAAGCATTAACAAAAGTATTTGATTGATCCAACAAATCTTCACTGGGTCTCAATACAATGTTTTAGAGGGTCCTGCTGACGATGTTTTATCAATTAAAATGCTCGCAGAAGTAAAACAAATTGCCTCGAGAAACCCCACACCATATGATCCATGAAAAGAACAACATCTATAAAAATATGTTAGCCAACTCCTTGCTGTGCTACGATACTTTTCAACTACTAGGCACCTCATCGTCCTGCAGAAGGCTCACGCACTGTGATGCTTTCTGCATAATCTACGAGTCTTGCTTGCAAAGTTCTGGGTTTGAGCAAGTAGCCTGCTGCCCTTCCCCTGCACCTCCGATTAGCATGGTTGGCTATGCACGGTGTGAAAGAAGTTCAACGTACATACAAGCAACATTATCTCTCCTCTTTATACGTACAGATCCCATCATCATCTCTATAATAATGATACCCCACCTCCTTTGCAGTACATCTAGAGGCACCCTGCAGCATGGACAGCTTAGTGGCAGCTGTTTCCTGTGAGGCAAGAGGGCATTAGTCGGCCAGGAGGGGACGATTTTCATATGTGGCTTCACAATTGAGTAATTTGCAAATAAACAGACAACGGAGGCGCAAAGGCATGTGGATGCTTTATAAATAAATCTGTTCTACCCCCCCCCCCCCCACATCATTTAATTTGAAATACATCACAGCTTGTACAAGCTGCCACGTGAGTGCTATTCACGAACATCCATTAAACAAGCACCAGGGACCGGTTTTGTGGAAGACAATTTTTTCACGGCCCGGGGGGGGTGGGGGGGGGGGTCTCCAGCGCCGTTTGTTTGTTACTCATTTTGGCTAGGGGTTAGCTTATGGGCTCACCAAAACTGGACTGAGACGAGTGCACAGTGCGGGAAAGAGTCGCGGACGGAAGTGGTAAATAAGGCAAAAAAGATATACACACAAAAGAC